TGCACCATATTAATCAATAGTTAGATTTTAAACAAAATCAATTAAAGCAACAATAAAACAAAAAACCTCAAGATGCAAGCATTGGGCCAATCAGGCGCCTTATCACAGTCGCCTTGGCCTAAACACTACAAGCACAAACCTTAACTTGGACGGACTTGGGCCTAGGCGCGCCTTATGAAATTGCCTGGCTTGAAACACTTAATCAGAGCACAACCTTAGACCCGGATGGATTTGAGCCTAGACACACGCCTAAGCATGCCTTTAATAACACCGGAACAATGTATCTAGCTAGGTGCACAAACTTCTGTACACATATATTGAGAGAGAGAGAGAAGAGAGAGAGAAAAGAAAACTCAAGAAAGTACTGAGAGAAGCAAATGGGGGCTGGAACAGGAATTTAACTAGCTTGTTGGGCAGTGCAAGTGGCACTTTGCAGCAGTGGCTGCTGGGTGTTGTGGGTTCTTTGCAGCTGCACAAACAGTGGGGTTAACCTGTAACTTTTAGTCTCTTAGAGTGAGAAGCCCTAGCAATGTGATGCTATTTATCCCGCATACAATCTAATGGACTGCTATTAAACTATTTTTTTGATAACTCATTAGATTAAATGGCAGCCCTGCTGCGAGAAAACAAAAGGCTCCCTATATATAATATATACAGATTTTACGGATGAAAGCAGTGTCCCAGATGTTGTTAAGAGATTAAACATCCCTACTCTTATTACAGATGCCAATACATTGGGCATTCAACCCCAAATCAATGATAGAAGAAAAATTAGCCTTAATTCCTAATCTCCAAAAAACACTAAGGCTCCGTTTGGTGGAGCACTGGAATGTTAGTTCCAGAGCTTGATTTGAGTATGGTGTTTGTTTGTGATTTTCGAAAATTAATTCCACGCTCACTTTTGAAAACGTGGTCGAAGTTGGGAAAATTTGGGCTAATCGGTCGTTCCACCGGACGTCTTACCGGATGTCCCACCGGTTGTTCGGCCGGTTGACCGGAATAGTGCAAATATATTTTTTTTATTTTTTGCAATTGACATATGTTAATTTTTATATATTTGAAAAAAATATTTTTTGAATTTTTAAATTTTTTTTATGTGCTTTAATAGAATTTTGAGTTGTATGTTTGGTTATGAGTTGTAAGTTTTTGTATTAAATACCATATGTCACATCAAAAATTCCTCACTCAATTCAAAACTCTTTTCAAAACTCTTTCACCAAACAAATTTTCCATACTCAAATTATAATTCCAAAACTCACAAACTCAAAATACAACTCCTACTCTCAAATCATATTTAAAAAGTTCTACCAAACGGAGCCAAAATGTTTAACATTTCATTTTGTTTATGTTGAACCTTAAATTATTTACTTATATTAAATTATATATATTTTTTCTGTACAAAGTGCGCCTCACTTTGGTGAAGTCTGCGCCTTGCCTTGCGCCTTGAGCCTAGGCCCCAGGAGACCTTGGCGCCTTGGTGCGTCTATCGCCTTTAATAACACTGATGTGTTCAAATGGCGACAATCAAAATGTGTATATATGTATGTCCATGTGTGTATTGGTTCTTTTAATTAATCTGTCTATGAAGCTGTTCTTACTCTTCTTTTTTCTCGTCTTTTATTTTTGCTTTTTCTGAGCATTAAAGTGTTCAATAATCAGAGAGCATTACTTTTTGAAACTCATCTTGTCATTGTAAAAATTTGGGCTACTGGAGCTTAATAACTCTAATATTGGTCAACCCAAGCAAAATTATACTCATTTTTTTAAACTTGGGTTGGGTGCTTGAGCTGGGAGTTCGGGCTGGGGCAGTCCCCAGTGCACCTTGGGATGAGCTTGGACAGGTCCCTAGTCCAATAAACCTGCCTGAGTTGCAGCTGACAGCTTTGGATTGTGAGATTTGTGTTGCCACTGTACTGTTTTTACCTTCATCTTTTCCTGGCTGCTAAATTATTCTTTTGTGTTTACTCATGCATAACATTGTAAAATAGTAGCATTTTAATTAGTCTATATCTTGTCTGTGAAGTATTCTAGAAAACCCCTTCTGAAATAGAAAGCATTTAGTATTTTGCTGTTATAGGAATACCCTAAGAAGCATGGGCACAGACACGCCAATATGACAATTTTCACAAATTGTAGGACATGACAAGTGGGGGACATGTCCAAAATATGTTAAATGTATGAATATTTCCTTCAAAGTTAATAAAAATATACAACGTAACCATTGGATCTGAAATTATTTTATTCAAACTTGTAATGTGTTCCATATGTGTCTAAACAATGGATAAGTTTGTCCCCCAAGTATCCAAAGTGTGTCATTGTCTAAAAAAACTTGGACAGTTAGAAGTGTCTCCAAAACACATATCGGTAAGTGTTCAACAAGTGTCGGTGTCTGAAATGGACACAACACCTTTTTAGAAGCGTCTGTGCTTCATAGAAAGACCCAGCCTTTTCCATTTTAAGTCAGCTTATTAACAGCAGGGAAAAACATCTGTCCTGCTTATAACAACAAAATATTATGATGGACTTCCCTCAAAATTGACCTTCAATCTTATTAATTTGTTAATAAACTCTGTGGTTCAAATCTCTCTCTCTCTCTCTCTCTCACACACACACACACACACACACACACTCACTCACGGACAACAACAGCATAGTCACAAGCTTGCTTTAGATATCGTCTTGAAGGCAGAAAGTAAGTTGTTTTATTGTTTTTAATTATTTTCTTCCTCTGATCATGCAGGTTGAGGGGCCCAAATCTCCTGAGGAGATGCTGACAATATTGCAGAAAGTGCTTGAAGAAAGTGCCCCTGTTCTTGTTGCTGCGAGGCTTGATGCAGAAGAAAGAAGAACCAACCTGCGTTTGAGGGAGGAACAAGATGCTGCTTATCGAGCAGCGCTTGAAGCTGATCAAGTGTGTCAAATTATTCAACTTCTTATTTTCTTTATCCCATTCTCAGTCCCCAAAGCTTATGCTTTATAATGAAATATTAGCATATTGTGATGCCGCATGGTCTTGATGAGGTTTCTCTATCCATCTCAGGCTAGGGAACGCCAGAGGAAAGAAGAGCAAGAACGGCTGGCAAGGGAAGCTGCTGAAGCTGAAAGGAAGCAGAAGGAAGAAGAAGAGGCTCGTGAAAGAGCGGCACGTGATGCTGCTGAGAAAGAAGCTGCATTAGCTAGAATGCGGGAGGAGAAAGCCCTTTCACTTGGAGCTGAACCTGAGAAAGGACCTGATGTTACTCAAGTAATGCCCATTTTTTTGTTTGTAATTACATTTTGTGCTCCTCTTTAGAACTATTTCACTCATCACAAAATAGCTCACTTTTTGTATTTCTAAAGGCACATAAATTATGCAAGCTTGTTGATGGAATTAGATGAAGAGTTCAGGAAACTGAGAATAGCGTGAATCACATTTTCTTAAACAGTTGCACCGCATGGATAGTATTATCCATTTCTTTCTCTCTCCTTCTATGGGATAGAAATTAAATTGCTCTCAATCTGATACATTTTTGTTTGTGATGTTTTGGACCATTTAGGTTTTGGTGCGGTTCCCAACTGGAGAGCGCAAGGAAAGGAGGTTCCAAAGTACTGCAACAATTCAGTCTCTGTATGACTATGTTGATTCGTTGGGTTGCTTAGAAGTCAAAAGTTACAGTCTTGTGTCCAATTTTCCCCGTGTTGTCTATGGCCCAGAAAAGCTCTCTATGTCCCTGAAAGAAGCGGGATTGCATCCACAGGCCAGCCTTTTTGTGGAGTTCAACTCTTGAGTGGCAACATCTCTTGCACAAACTTGAATTCGTAAGCTTGAATTCATTCGAGTAGTCTGAGATTGAACCCCAATAGTAGGATGTTTTGTGTTGACTCAGTCATATTTCAAACTGATTTAGTAAATGACACAATGAGAGAACATTCTTGCATATGCCTAACATGTGGATGCCAGATCTTTTGTGCTGCAGATTCGAGTGAACAAACGATCCGAGTAGAGAATTGGTTTTAAATAAATATATTGTCCTCAAAAAGGATTTAAAAAGAAAATATTAGTGCATTATTATTGATTGATCTATGCTACAGCGGGATTTTGTTTCTTGTGGTAATTGTCTAAAATGTTCAATAGATCCAGGGTAGCATAGATATATGTTGCAGTATCACCACCAATTTTAATGGAAGCTTGCATGCCTGACCCTCACTCAAAAAAGTATGGTAGTTATCATTCCTGTTAAAAGTTAGCAATAACAACAGACTTTAACTGCATTGCTTTTCCATTCCCCACTACTGCTTTTGCAAGATTTTAAGAATCGGAGCTGACTTGTACAAATTAATTAGGGTTCATGGAAGATGTTCTCCTCAATGACCTGTCTCCTTTTGAACACCCAAAATTGTTAGGATAGTGGCTTATGAAATACAATGACCCAATTACTGTGGCTTCTGTTTTTGCCAAACAATCTGGCCCTGGATGGCAGAAGTTTGATCACTGCCTCATTTAATACAAGACCAGTTTTGCAGTACATTGCTAGAAATGCTCACAATTATTCTGTATGACATGATGGCCTTGTGGATGAAGATCAGTACACTCACTCACGTTGTTGAAATCCACTGAGAAAATGTTGGATAGGGTGACAGCAAATGTTGTAGGGTTTCTTCCAACAAGGGGCTCTGGGTCAACTATTCAATCAAGTTAGAACCTAACAAACCCTAGAAGCTAAAAGATTACTCTGGTATTCAACCATTGGAGCTGCATGCCTGACCCGCCAGTAAAAAGAACAACTAGGCATTCTGCAAATATCATTGCCTGCGTGCACAAATTTTATCTTTTATATATTTTATCTTTACAGTCATGGATGCCACAGTTTCTCTGTAAAAGAAGAGCCTGAATCATAAGATTGTAAACAAGATTTAGTACATGATATTTAAATTTTCCCAAACATATGAATTATGTTTTGTTTAAATTTTTCACAACGGCTGGCTTCTTTCAATTCTTTGCAAAACCTCTCTCTCTCTCTCTCTCTCTCTCTCTGAATCTGCTCTAGACAACCTCTGGTAGATAGCATAGACGTAGTTGAAGGGACTAAGAGATGGTATGAATACTTGGAAGACCTCGACCACACATGAGCCTATGTAACCATTTTCCCGAGGCAAATTCCAATTTTATTAAGATAAAAAAGAAAAATGCATACAAATTTGTAGCAAACTATTTAATATCACATAATCTCAGTTGGAAGACTTTCTTTTTAAGCCAAATAATGATGTGTTTATAAGTGCCAAGCAAGAGACAATGACCACTTGTCCAAATCTCTTTGTCGTTTAGAAGATTGATGATTGTCATCTTTCATGTGCCTTTCTGTTGAAATCCAGAATTAGGGAAAGTATTCACAGATTAACGAGACCCCCAAACCTGAAGCAGAGAAGATTAGACAATTTTACTAGAGAGAGCATTAAAAAAGAAGTGATGGTAAAAAAATATTTTTACTGAATAGAGGGGATTCCCACATAACCTCACTACAAGATCATTCTACTAAAATTACTGAACTCATCAAACTGTCAAAAGCTACCCAGCTATGGTTAAGCTATAGGTAATAAAGAGAGAAAAAAGTATAGGACTCTATGAAATTAGTCGGGCTCTTGCATCTCCCAAAGCTGCTTCTAAATCAGCAAGTTGTGCAGATTGCTCCAAAGAATTAAATGATGATGCCAACTAGAGCCCATCCACGAGATTAGAGGCATCTGAAAGCTCCTTCTAGTTTTATTCCAAACTACTCTTGATGTTATGAAAATAAGCATCTTTGGAATCCCTCTCCCCCTCGAGAACTTGAAGCCGAGATCTCAATGGCTCAATTTCATCTTCAATGGCTTTTAACCCTTTCTTAGCTTCCAACCATAAAAGCTCGCGGCTATTGCACTCTTCAGACAAAACTTGAATACGATCAAAAGTTTTCTCCAACAATTGAGTGTCGTTGAAATTTGAACGGCACAAATTCAGCTCTTGTCTTGCACGTGCTAGCTCATAAGCTTGAACAATAAAGTCCTTCACCAAGAAGTACAAAGAATCAACATCGAATGGAAACTGGGAAAAAAACTTCAGACTAGGGTTAGCAAGTTCAATCATTTCTTTTGGTGCAAGGGGATCCATGTCAACCAATTTCTTCACAAAGTTCTTTATGGCCAGAACACAAGATCTTAGAGTTTTATCCATTCTGAGAAGATCCTTTACACATTCAAAGTTGGTTGGATGTTCTAATTCCTTTATAATCTCATCGATTTTGGGTAGTTGCACATCTCTTTTCTCTTCACAAGTCGAATTTTCAACAATACTAGACCAATTGGTAAGGGAAGAATCATTGTTGAGAAACAATGCATATGAATCAGTTGCTTTCAAGGAGGAATACCCATCTGATTTTGTAAATTCTTTGGGACTTGGATTGGAAGTTTGACTGGCTCTGAAAGAAGATTGTCTTGCTGAACCATGAAATAAAGCGAGGACTTCCACTGGGGGCTTCATAACATCCACTCGAATGCCTAAATCATTACAATACCTGCTCACAAAATATGTCCCAGTTGCTAATACTATGGTTGTACCCATACCAGCTCCAGAAACTAGCCACTTCATGACTTTGCAAGTACCAGATGCCAAGATTGGAACCTGAAACACAAAAGCTTGTCCGTTCCCTCCAATAATGCATACAAGTTCAGTTTTGCAGTACATTGCAAAATGCTCACAGTTATTACGCACAACATTGTAGTCCCCGAATCCATGTTGAAGCAGATACATGGACTTGTGGATCACTAGTTCTGGCGGGTCTGATTCTGCAGTGGTGCACGTGCCACCTCTGAGTTTGAATAGGAGCTTGGCTTTAGAGACTCCATACTCGAAGCGATACAAGGACCCATTAGCAAGGAAACAGTCCAAGCAAGAGAGCACCACCCCACTGTTAGGATGTCGAAATCCACAGTAAGGAAAATTTGGACAGGCTGATAATGGGTTTGAAGTTGAAGCACTGAATCCAAAAGAAGACCATGGAAAGGGATCAGAGGAGCTGCCAAATGTGCCTACAAAATGAATGACTTTGCTTTCTCCAATATAGATGCCTGCATTCACAAATTTTATTGTCTTTTCTGATATTATAATTTATAAGATACTTCTATATATATCTTCAGACATAGCAGATGCCACTTCACAAATTTCTAACCAAGACTAGCTAAAAATGAAATCAACACTGGCACGATTTGGAACATGTAGGAGATTAAACTTGGGTTTTTGCCCAAGTTGTGATTTTGAATGGTTAGAGTAGTTTTTGTAAATCACTGACCATGGTGGGAATAAGTGAAAGCAGCTCTCCAAGTGTAGATATGATCACCAGCTACAAGCTCACTTCTTTCAATTTTTTGGGAGAGAAAACCCATCTCATAAACTCTCTATGAATCTATCTGAATCTGCTAAGTACCCAAACACCAGTAATTAATTAATGTATGAATGTAGTCGAAAATTATTTTTATTTTTTAGTTTAAAACACAGAACTTTAAAATAACAGATAATGGAGTACAATGAAAAATGCCAAGCACAGAATGTACAGACCTGGGTGAAGATTACAAAACCAGAACAACAACAGAACCAACAAAGCCCAGAGTACCCAGCCAAGTCCTACAACATGGCAGAGAGACAAAACACACACACGGAGAGAGAGAGAGAGAGAGAGAGAGAGAGAGAGATGTATAAATACATGGAACTTGGAACTTTCCCCAGGCAAAATTAAAAGAATCTGGCTGTAGATATACCTCACATTCATTAACACATATTTGAATGAGCAAACCAAATATGCCTCTTCATTTTCCATTTTCTTTAGCCAAATTTCAATTCGCATTACCTTAAATAAACTTTTGTTTATTTATTTGTTATATTTAATGGTTTTTTAGCTTGTAGTATGTTTTCCCCTAATTGGGGCGGCAGTTTTGTATTTGTTGCATTTCCTTGATGCTTTTTAATAATATTTGTTTATTTATCAAAAAAAAAAAAATTGTTATAGCTACCTATTTTTTGTTTAAACTCTGTTTGACAGAAACTGCGCTCAGAAGCAGTTAGAATGATCGCTAAAAATCACTTTCTAAGCATCTATTTTTCTTCGGGAGTTGATATTTGAATAACACAAATGATTTGTTCTCAAATAAAGTATGGTGCAAATATTAACTATATATTTGGAAAATAATCATCTACTATGTTTAAAAAATTCCCCACTTCAATTTTTTTTTAAACTAATAACAATATAATGACTGAAATTATTTAGGGTCTATTTTTTAAACAAAATTTGGGGCTCATGACCAGCATTAATCACTTGCCCTGGTTCGGCTATGTTGTTGTTGGTGGTGGTGGTGATGGTGATGGTGATGGTGGCGGAGGTAGGCTAGTCGGAGGAGGGGGGTTATGGCCCCTGCAAAGATTTTGGAAACCTCATGTTTATTAGTATGTTATAAAATATGGATGTTTCGAAAAACATGCCGTACCCGTATCGGGTACTTATCGGCATTTGATACTTTTGTATATATACTGGATACACAAAACATGTATCTAAATTTTTTCTTCTTAATTTTTGGCGTACCTAAACGTATTTTAGTATATACGCAAGCCATACCATATTTCAATTGAAATAATATTTTCTTTTACTACAAAGATAAAATTCTTTTCACTAGATTTCTTTTTTGTTTTTAATTTTATGCTTAGTATGATTTTAAAATTAAGCATTTGTAAGTTATTTAATGGGAGAGGCTTCTCTCTAGTTCATAGTATGAACTGGAATGCACTGTTGGGCTTGAGAGGTTTACCACGGGTTCTGTTTTGATAATCCGAACCGTTAAATATGTAAAACTCGTCGATTACTTCATAGCTGCAAAACATCACATTGATCGGATATCAGTAGCCTCTTGATCGAAACACATTTTGTCAATGGTAAATATGATTTTTAGAATAAGTTATTAATAAAAATGTGTCCCGATCAAGGGCTATTGATATCCGGTCAATGCAATTTTTTGCAAGCATGAAGTACCTGACGAGCTTTACACAGTGAATGGTTTTCTCTCTAGTACACAGTGGACTGGAGAGAAACCTCTCCCTTATTAATGTATTGATATTTAATTTTGATTTATACATTTAATTTTGACATTAAATGTTAATTGTAGGTTATATCTTAACAAACTAAATCATTTAATTGATTTTTATATTATTTTAAATTAAAACTAAATACTTTTTTACAACTATACCAAGCCCTACATGTATCTTATTTTTAAAATTTTATTGTATCAACTTATCCGTGTGGTACAAGTATCAATAATATGCCGCTGTATGTTTGCCCCGGCAAAATTTTGAGCCCAACAAAAACAATCCTTCCCACGTAAAATAGAATTGAGCCTAGTCCAGATAAAACTTTTATTAATGGGTATTTTAGGGCACATAATAAAACTTTTACAAGATTGTATATTTTGAATGAAAGTGTGTAATATTATCAGCTTCTGCTGTGGACATGTTAATTCACGGTTATACTCTTAGATTTTTTTATTTTTTATTTTTTTAAAAATAGAAAAAGACTCAAATGGACTATTAAATATTATTATTATTTTTTATGAAAAATGTAGACAAATAGTGAATAATAAAAAATAAAAACTAATTGAAAAAGCTACTTCACAGCTTATTTAACAAACACTACTCAGCAACTTAAATCTATAATCCAACAGCTATACCAAACAGATTAACCGCTTCTGATTAAAGTCATAATCTATAATCTGTTAAGCTATAATCTATAATCTGTTTTAACAGCTACACCAAACACCACCATTGTATGTTTGCCCCGGCAAAATTTTGAGCCCAACAAAAACAATCCTTCCCACGTAAAATAGAATTGAGTCTAGTCCAGATAAAACTTTTATTAATGGGTATTTTAGGGCACATAATAAAACTTTTACAAGATTGTATATTTTGAATGAAAGTGTGTAATAAAATATACAATTTATCTCTACTAACATATGTCTTCAAGACAAACACTAACAATTCTATTTTTATTAAACTAATAAAAAATTTAACTCTAAATTTGGATTTTATAATTTTGTTTTTAAAATTTGACTACTTAGAGAGTATATATATTTAAGTTTTTGAGTCAATAATTTTTTATTTCGGCCATTGTAAAAAACTTGTTGGCAAGTTGAATTTGTTTTAACAGCACAATAAAATAATTATTTATTTTGATCAATCTATTGGGATTTGTTTTCAAAATTGTAATGCTTTACTTGCCCAATATCTTAATAAATTTATATAATATTAATTTATATATACAAAATTATAAAATAAGTAGAGAAAATTCGTGATAAATTCAATTTGGAGAATGTCTAAGGTATTAGGTCCAGTAATATTTTTTATTGGTGAGAGATTCACCTTTTGTGAAATAGTTTGGTAAGAAGTCATTTTATTTGTTTTAAAGGACATTTTGTTTTCAATTTTATCGTTTAATTTAGCTGTTGACTTTTTTTTTACTATCTATTCAAATTTATATCTATCTGTTTAAATTTTTTTGACTATTTGTTCAATTTTTTCCTCTTATCTATTCAAATATTTATCCAAAATTTATTGCTTGTTCAATTTTTTCATTTATCTATTTAAATCTATCTATCCTAATTTTATTATTTCTTCAATTTTTTTTACTGAATTTTATTTGTGAAAATTCACTACAACAAATTTGGGATTTAAAGACGAAACAAATTTGTCCCAATATGTATATATTTCGTCACCCAAACTAATTACGACGAGAATTTTCGTCACTCATTTTGTCGCCAAAGCCTCGTCGCTAAAGGGTTTTAGAGACGAAAAAACAATTTCGTCATTGAAAATGATAAATTTGTGACGAATTTTTTTGTCTCCCATACGCTCTGTTGGGAACATACTTGTAAGTAATTAGTGACAAAATATTTTGTCATTAAAGGAAGAAATTAGAGACAAAAGTATTTTGTCATAAATATAAGAAATAGAGACGAAATAATTTTGTCACGTTTAATATAAACGAAGACGAATTTTTTTTGTCAAAGAAGCTACCAATAGAGACAAAAATAAATTCATCATTAAAAATAATAAATTTGTTACGAATTTTTTTGTCTCCAATACACTCTGTTGAGAACATATTTGTAAGTAATTAGCGACAAAATATTTTGTCATTAAAGGAAGAAATTAGAGACAAAAATATTTTCTCATAAATGTAAGAAATAGAGACGGAATAATTTTGTCACGTTTAATATAAACGAAGATGAAAATTTTTTGTCAAAGAAGCTACCAATAGAGATAAAAATAAATTCATCATTAAAAATGATAAATTTGTGATGAATTTTTTTTGTCTCCAATACACTCTGTTGGGAACATACTTGTAAGTAATTAACGACAAATTAAAGGAAGAAATTAGAGGCAAAAGTATTTTTTCATAAATATAAGAAACAGAGACGAAATAATTTTGTCATGTTTAATATAAACGAAGACGAAATTTTTTTGCCAAAGAAGCTACTAATAGAGACAAAAACAAATTCATCATTAAAAATGATGAAATAAGGTCAAAAAAAATTCGTCACACATTGAGGGTAATAGTGACAAAATGTGACAATATTTTTTGTCATGACAAATTCATTCAGCGACGAAATAAAGAATTCATGACAAAATTAATCATCCACTTAAGCCAAATAAGAGACAAAAAAACCTTCTTTAGGGATGGAAAATTTTGTCAATAATTCCATAATATTTTTTTCCACATTATATACCTATTTTATCAAAATCTAAATTCTAGTTCAACAAATATAACCCTGTTCATGTTGAAACCTGTTTAATATAACAATTCCATCACAACTTAACCTAACTTGTTATCAACACATTTACGAATTAACAAAATGAAAATATCCATTCATCATTACAAATAATTTCATCCTAATACAATAAAATAGTGAAATATCCACAAAATATCCAAAAGTTATAACTTGTTCAATTCCACCAAACATCCAACAATAACTAGTGCAACTCCACAAAGTATGTGTATCCTTATCAAACAAAAATGTACATTCAAGCAAATTATATCATTGTTGCACGGCAAAAATGCCACCCCAATCCAATCTGCAAAAAAATAAATTAAAAGCTTTAGTTATTAATCAATTATACAAAAGATTAAAAACATTAGTAACTCATCAATTTACAGTTAGATCAATTATACAATTTATCCCTTTAACAGACTTTTTTCTAGATTATGAGAACAAAAAATTAATTTTAAGGCTAATTCACAAATGATGCATCCCATTAATGTGCCGTAAGTTCATACAACTTATATTGGTCCCTCCTAAGGTGTTTCTATTGGTTCCTGTACAAATCTGTAGTTGTGTGATAATTTAGCATTTCGACCGCCTTTTTGAAGCTTTAAGTATAGAGAAAAAAAATATTTTT